TAACTGCATCTTTACCCAACCCTGCCCTGGGAAAGAAATAATTATAACTTCCTAATTCATCTTGCTGATTGGAATATGCTGCTGTTATAGAAAATCAAAAATAAATGGAAATAGGATCCTACAAAGATACTTGATAAACTAGGACTGAGGTGAATGTAAATGTTAATTCTTTGTTCCCTGCTGCCAGGTGTATGTACACTGGAGCCACCGTTTTACATTGTAACAGAATACATGCCTTATGGGAACCTGCTGGACTATCTACGGGAATGTAACCGGGAGGAGGTGAGCGCTGTTGTGCTGCTCTACATGGCCACCCAGATCTCCTCTGCTATGGAATATTTGGAAAAGAAGAATTTTATCCACAGGTGGGTGAAATATAACATTACACTGTGTTGCAGTGAAAGGGGAGGGGAAGGTTGCCTTTTAAAATATGGTATCTTTGTGGAGAATTTCTCATAAATTTAGAAATGTGATTTGAAGTGGGGATCCTCTACAGGCTGTTTTAGTTTGGATGTTATCCTAGAGCAGCCCATCTAACTTCTGAATGGCCAGCCAGAGGCCCCCTGCCATGAGCTGCATGCCCCTCAGGCTGCATGTTGTATGGACTACATTGGGTGTACCCTTCCCTGCTTCACCCCTTCTCCTGCACTGCATCAACATTCCTGTTCTGTACCATGTGATGGGACTTCCCCCACTTGTACTGCAGTGAGGCCCTGGGTCCCCCTGAGTTCCATGGCCATGGGGTCCCTGAGCCCCATGCTACCCTTTACCCCACACATGCACCCAGGGATGGGAACAAACAGCAGAGCCTGGAGGAGGGAGGGGGGAGCCCAGAGAGCAGAGCAGCAGCAGCAGCCACCAGGACAATGGTGGGGAGAAATGCCCAGACCAGGAGTCTGTGGGCTGAAATTTAACCCCTTGGCACAGGCAGAGGGGCACATGAAGTCTGCAGTCCACCAGTTGGACAGCCTGATTCAGGAGGGTATTGTGGATGTTTAGGGCAGGGTTGAGCTATGTGTAATATTTGCTGGCATCTCTGGCCTTTTTTCACCTGTCTTCTTTGACTTTAAGTACTCTTCTTAACAGCTCTTTTTCAGAACAGACGCAAAACAACATTTTACTCATTTTAGTCTGGAAACATAAAAATTAAGCTGTTATAACTTTTATAGTGAGTAGAGGTGGGCAAAATAGTCCAGAGGGCTGGATCCAGCCTGCAGGACCCCACCAATTCATTTTACCCCACCCAGCCAGGACACTTCACTCCCACCTTCCTACACAGGAGGGCCCCAGCCTGGTCTCAAGCTTCCAGGTGGGGCCATTACCCTGCTGCAGCTGCTGGGGACCTGCTCTGCTTCCCTGGCCTCCAGTGGCTCCTCCTTTGTTTCTGCTGCTGCAGCACTCGTTCTGGGCATCAGGCAGGGAAGCTGCAGCTGGGTGGGAATGGAGCCCAGGGCCTGTGCCTAGTGGGGCTGCAGGATCGTGAAGCTTCGGTGGGCAGGGCATGGGTGTGTGGGGTTCGTGGGGTAAGGGGTGTGGGGATTCCCCCACATCCCCCCACCATGGCTCAAAGCTGCTGCTGGTGGCAGCAGCAGGTGGCAGGCCATTGGGGTGCTCATGGTGTGCACAGGTGTAGCTGCCCAGCAGCACACGGCTCTGGCCGCTTTTGGGAGCTTCACATGGCTGCAAGAAATGGAGCCAGGCCCATCCACCTCTATTGCATGGGGCTCACATGCAGCTCCAGGGACTTATGCACCAGCAGGGGGAAGCCCCACATGATGGAGCTGGCTGCCTTCCCTGCCTCCTGCTGCCACGTGCAGTTCATGGGACTCTGCCGAAAGTGGCAGGGAGCCACATTTCCTGCTTTCTCGCAGAGTCCTGTCATCTGCACATCGTGGCAGGGAGTGGGGAAGGCAGCTGGTTCCATTGTGCAGAGCTTACCCCAGTGGTACATGGGTGCCAGGAGCTGCACATGAGCTAGCCTGCCTCCACTTGCCACCACATGGAGTTCCTGGAACAGGCTGGAGCTGAGCGCTGCTGGATGGCTGCATCTGCATGGGCCATGAGCACCCTGAAGACCCACTGCCAGCAGCAGGGGCTGTGTGCTGTGGTGGTGGGGGGGGGG